AGCAACTACTGTCCTTGCAGAGAAATTTGTTTCCCAGCACTCACACTGGTTGGCTTATGGTTGTCATGATTGCCTGTAATTCCTGTTCCTGGTTCTTAATCCAACACCCTCTTCTTACTTCTATGGGTACACACACACACACACACACACAGAGAGAGAGAGAGAGAGAGAGAGAGAGAGAGAGAATGCTGGTATAATGTTCTTATGGAATGTATACAATTTACCCTTGTTCATTCAAATGCTGATTTTCTCTACTCCACTATCTGGCTTCAATATGGACATTGCATTGTGATGCTTATTCTGTGCATCACCTGTCTCAAGTTTGTGTAAACAGGCCACTGTTTGTTCTCTGTATTGTCAATAAAACAAACAGTCCCAATGCTGAGCAGTGGAGAGAATAGGGTGGGACATCCTGATCCAGAGGGGAGGAGAAGGAAGCCAGTAGGAGGAGGAGAGCAGAAATCTGCAGGAGAGGACTTGGAACCACATGGAGAGATGAACCGGACCTAAGATATGACTAGAAGCAGTTATAATGGGTAAAATCTGAATGGTAGGAAACTATGTGGGCTTGGAGGTATAGGATGGAGTAATTATTGCCCAGTATTGTGCTCTAGGTTAACTAAATAAATCCTAGTCTCTATGTGGTGATTTGGGTATACAGCTGGTTTAGGGATAACTGCTGCTTAAATCGATAATAAATATTATTAACCCACAACAAGAGAATAAAAGAATAAAAATATTGTTTCAGATTTTATCATGAGTCAGATTAAATCATGTGTCTTAAAAACTTTCAAATTCAGAGTTTTGTTTATTTATTTTGAGACAAAGTCTCTCTCTATAGCCCTGACTGTTCCAGAACTCACTGTGTAGACCTGGCTGACCTAGAACTCACTGAGATCCACCTGCCTCTGCCTTCTGAAAACTGTGAGTAAAGATATTCACCACCATACCTGGCTCAAGTGCTTTATTTTAAATTCCAGCTGGTCCTGATGACATCATTTTACAAAATGATAGATTTTATAAGCCAAGATTAGTACCATTGTCTTAATCTCTGGCTTTTTGAACACTTCCACATCCAAGTATCTCTCTCATCTTCATTGAACAGAAACATATTTAGCTTTAACTGTCAGGGCTGTTGTAGACAATCCTACTCAGGTCTAGGGAATGCTTGTGAAAGGGCTTTCAGCTAGACAGAAAAATTCTGCTTCACTGAACAGAAATTGCAACATTTACTGCCTGGTGGTGCTTACACCTATAAAAGGTGAACGTCTGCTTGACATTCACTGAAAGCATCCCAAGTTTGTAGGGCTTCTGATCATAAGACCTCAGTATTAGACTTGAACTTACACTAGAAGTGGAAATAGACAAGGGCAGAAAGAGGTGGAGAGACTTAATGTAGCAGTGCTTTGTTTGGTGTCCTATAACCGTGTCAATATTCTTTTCAGTTGCTTTATTTTTTTTAAAAATTACTTAATTTTTTAAATTTATTTTTTTGTTTATCACAATTTATTCACTTTGTATCCCAGATGTAGCCCCCTCCCATGTTCCCTCCCAATCCTGCCCTTCCTTCCTCATCTCCTCCCATGCCCCACTCCAAGTCCACTGATAAGGGTGGTCTTCCTCCCATTTCATCTGACCCTAGCCTATCAGGTCTCATCAGGACTGGCTGCATTGTCTTTCTCTGTGACCTGGTAAGGCTTCCCATCCCTCCTCAGGGGGAGGTGATCAAAGAGCAAGCCACTGAGTTCATGTCAGAAGTAGTCTCTGTTCCCCTTACTAGGGAACTCACTTGGGCAATGAGCGGCCATGGGCTACATCTGTTCAGGGGTTCTAGGTTATCTCCATGCATGGTCCTTGGTTGCAGTTTCAGTCTCAGAAACAACCTCTGGACCAAGATCATTTTGGTTCTGCTGCTCTCCTTGTGGAGCTCCTGTCCTTTCCAGGTCTATCTCCCTCTTCTTTCATAAGATTCCCTGCACTCTGCCCAAAGTTTGGCTATGAGTCTCAGCATCTGCTTTAATACCCTGCTGGGTAGAATCTTTCAGAGGCCCTCTGTGGTAGGCTCCTGTCCTGTTCCCTGTTTTCTCCCTCTTCCAATGTCTATCCCGCTTGCCTCTCTGACTGAGGATTGAACATCTTACCTGCTGTCCTCCTTCTTGCTTAGTTTCTTTAGGTGTACATAGCTTAGTATAATCATACTAAAATCAGTAGCTTTCTTAAAATCTGTATAAAGAGTTAAAATTTGAGAGCATCAGAATCATTGAGTTTTTATAGTCCTTTCTCTTATAAAGAAAGTCTGGTCCAAGTAGAACTTAGGAGATAGGATGTGAACCAACTCTTTGGAACCTGCAAGCTTGATCTCTTAACAATATATTTGAAGTGATGCTTTTGGGGTCTCCTTTGAAACCCATTACAACTGCATCTCTCCTTTTACCCTCAAGGGATTCAGGTCCTGGTCTTTTCCCTTCCCTTATTCACAGTGATGCCTTCCTAGTATCTCTTTCACTAGCCTCATGTTCTGGCTGAACATAGTTTAGAAAGGAATGATTCTTCACTTCCTCTAGCCACTGATGCCAGAGGAAGTGAAAAGCTCTAGACAGATGATAGAAAGTTAGAATTGTAGAGAGACAGTGAAGCAAATGAACAAACAACAGTGAAGGTGGAAAAAGAGGGGGGAGCCAAGAATTTTCTAGAACTAGTCCTGGGACCTGAGCACTTAAGACACGTGCCTTACCTAGGCTTCCTGAAACTGTGCTGTGAATTGTGGAGATGCACTTTTAGCTGCATTTAGCTGCACTAGGTGATTTTGTTATATAAAGTCAGAACTGTAATTGGCACAGTGGATCATTTCCAGGTTGCCTTTATCCTCAGACTGCATGGCTGTCAAGCAGGAATCTATGTTTTCTTCTGTAGATAGGACTAGGGATAGCTACCTGAGTTTGAAATACACTAAGGGACTTGCTACTCTTTTGATTACAGTGACCAGAATTCTAAGCTATACAAATGCTACTGATGTACAGTCGTGGTAGTAGTTTTGTTTGTATTCTGAGACAGGGTCTTGCTGCACAGCCGAGACTAGCCATGAACTTGGTTACGAGCAGGCACTGCCACGCCTGCTTCCACACCTGTGGAATGATCCACATTCATATCCAGATTACAGACCTTAGGAAAGATCTTTTCTCTTTGCTCTCTGTAATGGCTTTATTAATCTATATCCTATCTAAGCAATCTGGACCTCTGTGTGATCACATTTATTCATTCATCACTCCCTACCAAACTCTAAATCTCTGAACCAGTCTCTAATAAAACTATGTCACTATGTGTGTCTGTATTGTTCCAGGAATCTGCATAACAGTCAGGCTTTGCCTGCAGATCAGAAAATTATGATTTTACTACACTGATATAGAATCATAAAACTTAAATAGGCATGAATTAATGTATGTGGGGTAAGGTTAAGTATAGTGTTTGTTTACCTTCAATTTCAAACACTTGCTCAAGTACCAGCAATAATATTTGAAATCACTTTCCTTGAGGCACTCCTCCCTCTATATTCTTGCTTTACTAATTTTAATTACTAAATAAGTTAATTTAAAACTGAATTTGTTTAAAATATTAATTTAGAGCTTACTTATGCCCAAAATTGAAAACTAAACTTAATTATTTTTAATTTAGAAAATAATATATTATTTTTTAAACTCCTAACTACTTTGAGAAAACTAAAGATTTAATTTTTTTTTATACAATTAGAAACAAAAGTAGAGACATAAAACAAACTTTAGAGATTCTCAAAGGCCAACAAGGAGCTCGTCAGAGAAGAGACAGTTGGGTCAGTGAGTGGTTCCTAACTTGTGCAGTTCATCTCTGAGAGAAACAAGCAGCTGCGGGCCACACACGGCCTGTATGCCCAGCTGCTTCATTGGTAGGACATTTGAACTACTGCATCGAGAGATCCCCAAAACAAAAGGTTCAATTATATCTTGCTTTTTTCTTCTGTTTTAAGAAGAAGAGACTGGGCCAGTGAGATGGCCCAGAACGTAAGAACACTGGCTATACCAGCATAAGGACCTGAGATCTCAGACCCACATAAAGGAGGAAAGAGTGCACTCATTCCGTATAAGTGTCTACACGTGCACTCACACAGACACATCACACACAACACTAATGTGGGGTGTGTGCAGCGTGGTCAACGTGTGGGTCCCCTAACAACGGGAGTAGGGCTGTCTCCGACGCTGTTGTCTGCCACTGGATCTCTGTCGTAGCTGGGCTGCCTTGTCAGGCCCCAGGGGGGTATTTGGTTAGTTCTGCTGAGACTTGAGAGGCCTGGGTGGGTTGGTACCCTGGTGGGGGTTTTCCTTTCTCTAAGAAAAAGGAAAAGGGGAAATGGGGGGAGGCAGGCATGAGGACAGGAGTGGGAGAGGAGGGAGGGGGATGGGATCAGGCTGCAAAGAGATTAAAATTAATAAATAAATGAAAAAAGTAATACTATTAAAAAAATTTTTAAAGCAAAAATCCAAACAGTGAAAAGCAGGGTAGCTATCGGTAGCTCAGTGATGCACGCTGGCCTAGGGGTAGGCATCCATGGGTTCTCCCTGGCACTTCAGAACCAAGCAGCCAAGCAGCCCACACAGAAAACCATTATTAAGGCCAGAGTTGGAATCAACCAAGATGTATAAAAGAAATGGAACATTTGCCTTCTTTCTTTTTCCTTTTTTGCTTTTTCTGAAGGTGAGAGACACCAAGAAAAAAAATGGAACAAGGCTTAAGAAGGCACAGGACTTTGAAGCTTTTAGAAAGGTAAATATAAACCATATAAAATTTATACACTGGAAATACACTTCCTAGAAATACTGTTTTCAGACAAACTTTAATTTTTGAAATTTGAGCCTTTTCAACACAATAAAATGAGCCCAAAATATAATTTCAGTGAACCTGGAATGCAAGATAAAATCCACTGTACCCTGAATTCTGCTAGCTTAAAACGTATGAACACAGTATGCACAGCAGTGGAGAGTTTTATATTAGTTGTCGTCGGAAAACATTTTACTAAAATGTACAAGATGCTATAACAACAGAGTACCAAAATATGGATCATCGCAGACACTAACAGAGGTCCCTAGGGCACATTGCCTCTTTTCTTTTGCAAGGCTTTCATGAGGTCTGACATGAAATCTTGCTCGCCGCTCCCTACTGCACCAGGGAGTCCTTGGTTTTCTTGCCGCTTGGGGGGCACTGGGGGCCTTTTGGGGGGCATTGGAGATGACTGGAAGAGACAGGGTGGGGGTGGTGGCGGGGGTGGCAATTCGAGGTCTTCAGCTGCAGGTGGTGGGGGCGGTGGCACGAAGTCCGGTGGCTCCTCCAGGAAGCCCAGGTTTGGCGGGGGAAGTTCGCAGTCGCTGTCCTCCTGGGGCGGTGGGGGCGGCGGAGGAGGCAGGAGGTTCTCTGGAGGGGCAGGGAAGGTACAGTTGCCTCTGCCCTTGGCCTTGGGTGGCAAGGCGGGGCTGCCACAGGTGTCTGAAGATCGTCTTACTGGAGGGAGTGGCGGTGGCAGGCTGGACTTAGGGCGATGATTCTCCCTGGTTGGTCCTGGGCAGTGGTTATTCAAGCCTCGATTGTCATCCTTCAACAAAGTGACAACAGAGCTGTCATGGGCTTTGACAATACATCCATTATGTGATATTGATGCTGATTGGGATTGCCCCATTCCTTCCCACACGGGGACTAAGTGTGATCATGAGCTCACCTTTCTCCAGGTAAGGAATGGTCCCAGTGCCTTTGACATCATTATATGTGAGCTCTGAGTCAGGACTCTGTAATTGGCCATCTCAGCCACATTTCATCTAGGAAGTGTTTACTGCCTTTAGGTCACACACAGACCTTCCTCTGCAAGTCTTACACAGAAGTTGAATGTTTCTCTAAAGTATTAATAAATCCTAACTCCTTGTGGGGGTTCTCTCAGTTTCATTTCCAAGCAGATCTCATCTTGGGGCAACTCAAACTAGAAGCCAGATGTTTCTCTAAGACTCCCTACTCCCAACCTAAGACAGGCCATCAATATCCTGGGAATATGAAGGAACACAAATTTGGTAGTGTTTTTGTGTGTGTTTGTGCTTGTGTGTATGTATATGTGCCACACCTTTGGTGGCATAGAGGTAATCAAGGGGCATCTCAGAGTGTTCACAAAAATCTTCTCGCTTAAAATATGGCCAAGAACTTGGGGCTGGAGAGGTCACAGTCTCTAGGGATGAACCTACTACTAATTATTTTTGCTACATGGACATATTCTTAAAGGCCTCGTAAACATTTATCTCTATATTCTTAGGTTAGTGCAGCTCAGTCCCTATCAGAGAAATGTCTTGTGCAGAGGACAACAGTTAATGCCGAGACTCACACTGGTCACAGTACAGAGAATAAGTATGAGCAGAGTGCTCAATCATAAATGGAATATCTGTGTAATAGACCCTTCCCCCTGGTGCTGGTCCCCTTGAGCAAGGAGGAGCAGAAAGACCGTAAGAGCCAAAGGTTGGGGAAGATGAGGGTGAAAGTGTGTTCTGGATATGACAGGACCGTGGCCTGTGCAGGATCCAGCTAGCTGGTGTTTCAGCACAGGAGGGGGAAGTACAGGGGCTCTCCCCCTAGCTAAGGATTTGTTGACTGTTGATGGCTTTGAGGGGAGGGAGAGTCAGTTTTCTTTAGGGATGTGGTCCCTGGCAGGTTGACCATGATGCAGTGGATGGCCCTATACCCATGAGTATGCAGGCAACATTGGCCTCTGTGGGTTATAAGAAAAAAGAGAACATGAAGTTGGAAAGGAAGAGTGTGTGGGAGTAAGAAGTTCCTGAGAGGAGTTGGAGTGGGGGATTGAAATACCTTGTGTGCATATATGAAATTCTCAGCAAATAAAGAATATTATACTAAAAACCCTTCGCTTAGATATTCTGCTTGGTTAGGATGAAGAATGCAGAAGGGAAGAAACTAAGAGAAACAATCCTGTCTGGGTGATAGCCTTTTTACTGTCCCTGGTGGAGTGCATGTTCCATTGTTCCCTCGATTATGGATGGTATTTCTATGCACTATTGTTCCCGGAACAAAGGTTCCAGTTCCCGGATTTCAGACTTCAAAGGAGGAGCCAATCATACTTTGCTCCTCTACCACAGAGGCTCCCAGAAGGAAGCAGCTGGAAGCAGGACACCTGGTCTAAACTCTTGGTCTACCTTTCTTTTTCTTTTCCTGTGTGTGTGATGAAAGTCAAGCATAAATTGAATATGATGTGCTTCATGTAATAATGAGACCAAGTGAGATAAGCCATTGATGAGTTCCTAACGTAAAATCATGCATGTGTAGAGGACAGAACACCTGGCCTGGCTCTAGACTCTAGACTCTAAAGTCAAGAGAGAACTTGACAACAATAATAACAGCAGTGTATTTCTGTAACAGTGTATTTATATAAAGGCAGCGTCCCCCGCAATTTCAGGCAGCTGAATTGAATGGCTATCTTCTGGTGCAAACTACCATCATTTTAGTTTACATTTTATCAGCTTCTGTTTTATTTTTTTCCCTTAACAGCCTGAACTACAGAATATTAAATTTAGATTTTTCTAATAAAGTACTTTTTGATGAGTTTCAGTTTTTTTTTCACTTATTTACTTGGCATGCTAAGCTTGTGATATATTTCTTAAAAATTTTGGCTCAGGCAGCTTGAGTATTGGTATTAACAGAAATCATTTCTATTCTGGTGTTCGTTTATCTGTTTGGCTTTTAAAAACACTTCTTTTGGACTAATGTTACAGAAATAATGAAAATGTAACGGAAAGAAAATTGCATGGCGAGACTGTCAGGCTTGGATAGAGTAGAGAAACAGCTTTTAAAAGCCTAAAACGGCTTTCAAAAACTATAAGGCTTTCAGTAAACAGTAACATTTACTTTTTACCACTGAAGCGGTGAATGAAGTAAATTATTGAAGCTGTGCACAAGGACTGTAATACGTGGAGACAGCCACAACTATTTAAAGCTGTTCCAAACCCCATGAAATACTCAGTAGAAATTACAGTCTTCTGAGACATCTGAATTGGATAAATAACTGAATTACAATCAACTATTGGCTTTATATACATTGAAATTAATCTTTATTAGTCTCTTTTATAGAAAAAAGTTATGGAGGATGTTATTTTAGACAGCCTATCTATCTATCTGCCTGTCTATCCATCCTTCATTCTTTCTATCTGTCTATCGATCTTCGTAGTGCAGGTGATGGAACCCAGGGCCTCACACCCTCACGCCTGATCTTGGTTAGTAGCTAAATGTTTTTTTTTTTTCTTTCCATCATTCTGAGCATGCGTTCAAGTCATTAGCCAGAAAATATAAAATATGCATTTCATATGTGGACTCTTTTTAGGAGTCTTCTGATCTAGTTTTGGGGTTCACTTCATATAGGGCTTCCAACTAATTTTCAATTGCTCTAATTCATTAAAAAATCAAAAATCTCAAGGGCTAAGAGAACATGAAAGTCACTACATGAAGGAAATCCCTCTGTTACAATAAACACAGCTAACAAACACTTAGGACATGACAAAGCAGTGTGATTAATAGCTGATTCTAACTTTCACCTCCAGCCTTGGGAGCTTTAAGGTAAAATATGACCCCATTTCCTAAATGAAATTATAGTACAGTGTCTTCCCAGTTGTATTTGGAACTGTACTTGGGTTTTTAAGAAGAAGGTACCAGGACCAGCTCAGAAGGCGGGCTTTTTTTAGGTATCGCTCAATAGGCTTTGTGTGGGTTTGCCATTTACCTTAGTTGTTTCCACTTGTGCCTGGGCCTCTTGGAGAATATCACCTGCAGAAGGTGCAGCCTGGGGCACCTGACCATTGGGCTGGCTGGTGCCTGTTTTAAGTCCTGAGGGAGCAGAAGAGAAAATAGAGTGAGAAGGCATTTTCAGTACTCTTCAAGGAGAATCTGCAAATACAAAGCACTTTACATCATAACACAAAAGGCAACACTCACAAATATTTCACAAAACCTTATGAAAAATCTTAGGTCCCGTGTGGGGTATGCTTCTGAGGTTAAGAATGTACTTGGCATGTGTAGAGACTTGTGTTTAGTTAAAAATCACAAGGCTTCTGGTAAACACTAAGATTTTGCAGTGGGCAGCAGTCAATGGACAAACACATAACTGATCAAGGCAGAGAATTAGAGACAGAGTGCTTAGCCCTAAAATGGGCAAATCTTTGTTGCCCTCCATCCACCAAGGTTCAGGGAGTGCCCTTGAAAAGGAGGCGCAAAGAATGTCAGAGCTAGATGACAGGAGGAGGGCTGTGAAATGTTGTCCAGATATCACATGGCTATGGCACTCACAAACTCATACCAGCTGTGCTGACCTGCACAAGAGCAGTCCAGCCGAAACTCAGGCGCTTTCAATTCCTGTGCCTCACTGACGAGCTACTGGCAGCTAATAGCTGCTGGAGAAGGGAAAATTTGTTTGTTTAAAATATGTGGTCACTGGTAGATTTCCCAAGATACCGTGGATATTCCTACATCCAAGCACATAAAGGCAGTACTAACTGGGTTTAGCGTCTTATTTTTAAAAAGAAAGAGGATGTGACCTGAAAGGGGGCCTCACTGGGAGGACTGGAGGGGTGGGGCAGAGATCTGACCAGGCTTCATTGCAAGCATGCATGAAATTCTCAGGAATAAAATATATATATATATATATATATATATATATATATATATATATATATATATATATATATATATATATATATAAATTGCTGTTTGTGTTGCTGACGTTTCATGAAATGACTATTAAAAGAATTTTAACTTGACATTAGGACAGAATTTCCAATGATTTCTGAAATCGCCCTAAACATACTCCTGCCATTTTTTTTTGCATTTTGTATTTGAGCAAAGTGGCATTCTCAGCATTGATAACCATCATAAAATCAGAATAAGGATCAACTCTAAAAAACACTGAAGATGTTCTATGCCTTGCAGTTCAAATATTCAGCCAAGATTTAGTTCTCCATGTAAAAATTAAATGAGGCATCCACATTTCATTAGTATGTAAATTTTATTTCATCTTTAGTAAATGGTAAAATTACATCCATAGAAAATTGTCTTTAAGATACCACTCTTTATGATTCATTATCAGCAAATGTTTGATTTGTATTACTTGCTTTATACTGGACACTGGCTTCTATCTCTACTAGGCAGTTCCCTCAGCTATGCAATGGGGTTATAATCTACATGCTGTGGAGCAATTAAATGTGTAAATTCTATATCCATGATCCAAATCGACCACCGATTGAAAATGAATGATTTGAAAATGAATGACTTTTACTGAACATTTGCAGGTTTTTCTTTGTCACTGTTTCTAAACAAGATAGCATAACAACTATGTACTTGCAAAGTGCTCAAGGGGTCCTAGAGTCTGTCACAGATACCAAAGCCCGGAGCTCTCTGTAGAGCAGCAAGCTCGTTAGGTACCTTAGTTAACTATACCAGCCTTAAAGAATACAAATCAAGGCCGTTCCCTCAAAATGTGACGCCCAGCACTGTGTGTGAGACTCCAGCCGTGAGGTCACTGAGGAAAAGCAGCAGGCATGGTCCCATATCTGCTGAGTGTTCTGCTAGGAACTAATGAGCCTTGAACTGCATCATACTTTGATGTGTGTTTTGATAAGACACATCTTGCAGCCCCCCCTAAAATCATGGGCAATAGTTTATTTATGGGCCTATTTTGAAAAAGTAGCCAAAGTTTGTGAAAAGTCACTTGTAAGTAGACAGAGGGGAGTGCACTCCAAACACTGTCTACAAAGTTTGCTTTCATTTTATTTTATTCTATTTTATCTCCTTCACCTCTTTCTCTCTGTTCTTTGTATGTGTGCATATGTATGTGGACAGATGTGCTCATGCATGTGTGGTGACCAGAGGTTGACAGCAGGATCCCTTCCTTAATTACTTCCTCACATTATTATTATTATTAGTTTTTTAGACAGAGTCTTTCATTACGCAAGGCCATCTAGCTCTGCCCTCTGTTGCCTGGAGCCACAGACTTGTGCCACCACATCTGGCTTTCAGGATGCTGAGGATCGGGAACTCGGTTCTCATGCTTGCATAGCAAAACTTTCCCCACTGAGCCAGCTCCCTAGTTTCTTAGAGTTTGCGTTTTCAGTGTATAGGCATGAGCCCCAAGCTTGGTGACGGCATGTGAATCTCTTCTTTGCTTTACCTGTAGAAGGCTGAGCTGACACTGCTGTACCAACAGTCCCCAGGTGTGTCCACCGAGAGGCCAGCCCAGCTCTCACCACAGCCCGCTGATAGTTATCATACAGGGTCTTCCCATACTAGGGAGGAAATAGAAGAAGGAAAGGAATCCATTTATTTCAAATTTTGTATTCCACTGCAATACAAATCTTGAGAGAGAAAAAAGTGCCATAATTCTTCTGGTCCAAGTTGGTTTGGGGGACTATATTTCACAGATTGCTCTTTCAAATGTTAACAATGTTTTAGATTAGCACGATCGCTGAATTCTCCCATCTACACATCAGAGGATAGGGCTAGCCACAAAATTTTGATCACAAGTCTTCATGTAACTGTTCAGTAGAGTTAAATGCCCTCCTTTGCACTCTCTCCCTTTTATGGTGGGATCAACCCCAGGGACTCACACTTGCCAGGCAAGTGCTCTACCACTAAGGCACACACCCTTAGCCCAATCTCGAGTTTCTTAATTGCACATATGTTTGCAATTCTTTCTGTGAATCTGAAAAGTCAGCTCTGATTCTCAAGCCCAAGGATGGGTGTGTTCTTGTGTGGTTAATACTATACCATAGTGAGTGACTCCACTTATGGGGGGTACCCGACAAACAGACAAGACAACATCTGTACTCAGGAGTGGCCAAATGCTGGTGCTGGTAAGCGACCTTGTTGGCTTACCCAAGAACACGTGAAGCTGAACTCACACTCACCTTGGCGATCCTTATTCCCATAATCCACTGTCTGAGAGTTCTTGCGTCATCGCAGCAGAGATACTTGATATACTGAGATTCCTTCTGAATTTGAGGGTGCTGCACAGAAGCAGTGTTGAAGACAATTAACAGACTCAGTTATTAAAAGCCCAAAATACCTTTCGAAATAAAAAATACTTAAAGAGAAACCAAGACAATATATATTTACTGAGATGGTGGCAAAAGTATCTGGTTATAGTTTTATCATCAGGACAAAGGCGTCATTGTGAACCCCAGGCTGGCCTCGAACTCATGATCCTCCCATCTCAGTTTTCCCCGTAGCTGAAATTACATATTAGTACACCCAGCTATAGGAACTTTTAAAAACTGCTAAACTGGCAGCCTGGTGGCACAGGCCTGCCACCTCAGCTACCATGGAGACTGAGGAAAGAGGACTGCTGAGTTGAGATCTGCTTGAGGAACTTCATGAGACCTTGTCCCCAAAATAAAAGGTACCAAAAAGGCTGGGGGTGTAGTTTAGTCATAGCATGCTGGTTAGGCTGTGTGAGGCCCTGGTCCAACACCCAGCACTATTAAGAAAAAGGTCAAACTTTGAACAGATTTAAGAAGCCTGTTATATGCTCTAATCCTAAATACTTCAGTGCATGTCAGTAATAATTTTATTTCTCACTTTTAAATGCTGGAATCTTTCACATCTGTCCCTCACTGTAACCAAGTTGCTTCTCTATTTATCAGATAAAGAGACTTACTTGGCAGTTTATGTCACAACACTAATGCTTATAAAAATCATGGTCTTATTACCTTTCCCCCCAAATCTAGCCCACGGGTCATTTCTTTTACAAAGACTGATCTCCCACACACATGGGCATATCCTCTGCAGAGAGGATGGCATGCAGAGTGTTTTTGTCTGTCCTTAAGTGGTCATAAACAATGTGTGTGCACACATGTGCCTGTGTGTGTGTGTGTAAGCATGCATGTGTGCAGGGCTTATATAGGCCCCAGGAGTTCATGGAAATCTATGTGACACACAGAAGATGTGTCTCTTTCTTGGTTCTCTTTCCGTGCAGCTCCTGTTTCTGTCTGGCTTTGACATAGTGAACTCTATTGGATGGGAACTTTCCTGCCTTGTTTGTTTTGGAAGATCCTTGGTACTTAGTACATGCCAGGCACATGGCAGAACTGCAGCCCAGATGCCAAAAATAATTGTTTAAAGAAATAAATAAGCATAGCATTCACTATTGCATTAGAAATATTGCAGCCATAGGGGAAGAGGCTGGCAACTAAACCTAGAGTCTGAAGTATGTGTCTTGACAATCTTTATGGGTCATTATAACTTCTATTACATTTTATTGTATAAAAAGTACCAACTAAAATGTGTGCATGTGTGTATGTGTGTGTGTGCGTGTGTGGTTTCTTTAGAGTCACTTGCTAGTCTTGCCCGGATTCGCATGAACCAGTGCTACTAACGACCAAAGAGATGCCAGATCTGGGAGCATCTACTTCTGGCTTCCACGGGAGAGAAGGAGTGAAACAGCAATTCCTCTCTAAGGTGCTGCATAGACTTTTCTACTCTTGCATTCAGCACACTCACTGATCTTCAGGGAAGCAGCTAATCTTCAAAAGTGATCTGAGCACAGGACTTAGCATTATATTTGACATGCCCAACCCTGCAAGACACATAGACTATAAGAGCTCTAGTTAATTCAGGCTCTCTGTCTCTGTGTCTCTCTCTCTGTGTGTATGTGTGCCTGTCTCTCTCTTTCTTGGTTTTTCTGATATAGGGTTTTTCTGTGTAACAGCCCTGGCTGTCCTGGAACTCACTTTGTAGACCAGGCTGGCCTTGAACTCACAGAGATCTGCCTGCCTCTGCTTCCCGAGTGCTGGGATTAAAGGTGTGCGCTACCACCACCTGGCCTAGTTCTGGTTTTAAAATGATAAAACTGGTGTTTGGAGAGCTCACTATATGTCTCTTGACCCTATAGAATTTCTGAACTTATATTGAGCCACTGAATACAAACACCAGACTGTAAAGATACTACAGGGGAAAAAAACAAATGAAACCAAAAGGAAACAACAATTACAAAAAACCCCAAACCCAGGAAATGTAAAGATTTTCTGTCCATGGTTTTTCTTGGAACTGAGAAAAGATGACCCTTTTAATCAGATTACTTCCTTTACTGAGGCGATTTCAGCCCTCAGAATTGTATGAGCCTGGGCTAGAAGCCAGTTCAGCCTGGCCTAGAAGTCAGATTCCTCATTCCAGACAACACCACTGGGTACGCAGACTACTGCTGTAGTTCTCCAGTCCACCCAGCAGATGGCGGCAAATACTTTTGGATGGCTGCTGCACCCTGTATTGTTCTTTTGTTCAAAGCTTGCTCAGAAATTCTCAATGTTCCCGTTAGTACTGTAAACCTTATTGCAACAATCACGTTCTCGGGAGGACCTTAAAATCGGAAACATCAATCAAATCAAGCAGTTATGTCCAATAGCAAAAAGGATTTGCTGCATTTATTAACCTCAAGGTCATATTGGTAGCTGGAATGTGGCGTTCCATAAATGCCCGCAGTATTCTCAGCAACTATATTCACAAAACCAAACCAAAGCGCTTGAACCAGTATCAGTATCAGAACAACAGCTGCCTGACTTACAACAGAAGTTGTGTTCTGACTACCATGTCAGAAGAGCATTGCTCTCATCAGCAATTCATATTTAAATTCTTCTTAAGAAAGCACCAGTAGTGAGAGTGATGGCTCAACAATTAATAGGGCTTGCTCCACAGGCATGAAGACCACGGATTGGATTCCAGCGCCCCGTAACAGGCTGGGCATCCTGGCTCTGAGCTGGGCAGAGCCCAGGAAGCTTGTCGGGGTTTACTGGCTTCCAGCATGAGGAGTGAGGCCCAGCTTTAAGAAGAAGACACTAGATGGCCTCTTCTGGCCTCTGCATAGACTTGCACACACATATGCACATACATTTACATAGATATACAAACATGTAAAGAAATAAGTAAAGTAATAGAAAAATGTCTATTTTTCCTCCTGAGACATTTAGAAATATGCTGCTGCTACCTCGGGCTTACTATTACTATTAACTGTTTCATGTAACTGTGGTTTTGGGGAGATCATAGGAGTCCAGTTCTCAGAAGCGGTCTGCAAACTGTGTACAATGAAGTGCACCGGTGTTCGCGTAGCGGTGCCCACTCCCCTTGAGAAGTACAGTACTTAATATGTTTAACAGTAACATACTTAAATGTTATTCACCTAAATAAAGTAAAATATGATCATACCCTGAAATCAGATGGCTTTAATATAAAACAGAGGCCTCTATGTTTCTCCCAATCCTCCGACTTTGTGGTTCTGAGGTGAGCTGGTTGGTAGACACTAACTTCACAATTTGGAGATTCTTCAGGCTCTGGGACTTTGTCACAGAGCCTGTCACAATGCTGGCTTTGGTCACCTCACCTCACCTCACCTCACCTCACCTCACCTCACCTCACCTCACCTCACCTCACCTCACCTCACCTCACCTCACCTGTGTTATAAGGAAGGGCTCACTTCCTTATCTTTGGTGGATAAATCTTTGGTGGACAATCTTTGGTGGATAAATCACTTGCAAAAGGGCTTAAAGAGAGCACTGGATCAGTGCCATGAGCCAGAAGTCCCTCATCATCCTGTTGCTCCTGATCTTGAAAAAGAGGAGCTCCTAGAGCATGTGAGGTCACAGCCATTACAGAGCGTTCTTGCTGAAAGAACAGACCCTAATATCCTCTAAACTTACAAAATGGTTGAGTACAACAGACACAGTTAGGCAACTTATCTTCATGTAAAGATAACATCAGAATCCAAACTAGAATAAAAGCCCTGGGAGCTGACAAATATCATCCCGGGTATGTAAACAGATAGCTCCTACCATAACTGAGGAATGGTGGAGACATCAAATGTGTGATTATTTTCTGGTTTCACAGTAAAAAGTTTAAAAAGGGCTGAAAAGACATTTTGAGTGAGTGTCAGAATGTTTGGGGAATATCAAGAAGGTTTAGAGAGAGGCAGCATCTAAGGTGGAGTTGTAGTCAGGGCCCTCTGCTGGGGCAGGCCCTCTGTTTGTAGGCTCTGGGGGCTACTGGACATTTTAAAGCAGCGATGAAGCCAAACTTTGGGCAGAGCTCAGGGAATCTAATGAAAGACGGGGGAGAGAGAAGGACCTGGAGAGTTTGGGAGTGCCACAAGGAGAGCAACAGAACCAAAAATCTGGGCTCAGGGGTCTTTTCTGAGACTGATACTCCAAACAAGGACCATGCATGGATATAACCTAGAACCCTTGCACAGATGTAGCCCATGGCAGCTCAGTATCCAAGAGGATTCCCTACTAGGGGAACAGGGACTGTCTCTGACATGAACTCAGTGGCTGGCTCTTTGATTACCTCCCCCTGAGGGGGAAAGCAGCCTTACCAGGCCACAGAGAAAGACAATGCAGCCAGTCCTGATGAGACCTGATAAGCTAGGGTCAGGTAGAAGGGGAGGAGGTCCTCCCCATCAGTGGACTTGGAGAGGGGCATGGGAGGAGAAGATCGAGGCAGGGTAGGATAGGAAGGGAATGAGGGAGGGGGCTACAGCTGGGATACAAAGTGAATAAACTGTAATTAATATAAAAAATAAAAATTTAATTAAAAAAACAGTGATGATGCTGAAGTTGACATGGAAGATGAGCTTGACGAATGACTAGAGAGAGAAAGGAGCAAGCGGGAGACACTGATACAAAATTAGAAGGACCTTAAGGATGAGAAGTGGGAGAGTGAAGGGATTTAAGGGTGATTTCTCTGTAGTTCATAGCTTGGTAAAACAGGTGCCTATTGCAGATTCATGTCTGAGGTAAAAGGAATGTCACACTACTGTGCATGATGGGTATTGATAGATATCATCAGGTTAAGTTGAAGTTACATTGAATTAGTGTGTGCCCATCACGCTCCTTCCTTATAAGAAGAGAAGAATAGACACAGACATGCGCAGTGAAGATGATCATGTGCTGATACAAAGGGGGCTGGCATCACCTAGCTGCAAGAAAAGAAATGCAAGTGCTGAGGCAAACTCCAGAACCCAGGGAAGAATCCAAAAGTCTTCAGACTTCTTTAGAAGTAACTCAGCCTTTTTCCTTTGTTCTTTTTTAAGACATGATCTCATGCTGCCCAGGGTAGCCTTGAACTTAGGGCTCTTCTGCCTCAGACTCCATAGTGTTGGAACTTTCCATGCTGAGCTCTAGCCTTGTGTGTGTGTGTATATATATAAGAGGACAACTTTTGAGAGTCATTTCCCTCCATCACCATGGTTCCAGAAACTGAACTCAAGGTATCAGGCTTGCATGACAAGCACTTTTCCCCCAACGCTGATTTTAAAACACAAGAGTACTAAATTTCTATTGTCTTTAAGTCAATTAGTAGTGTGTTGGGGAAAGAGTGAGTGGAAAAGTATTACAGAGGTGACGGGATCATTAATTTGGGGAGAGAAAACTAAGAGAAGGGATTGGTAAAGATGGTGAGGAGGTGGAGCCACTGTCTAGAAGGTGATGGTTCAGGTACCCCTTGGATTTGTAGTTTCTACAGGTGAGAGGTGGTGAGCCCATTACCACAGTTAGGACTATTTTGCATATAGGTAGTAGCTGGACTATGACAAGGAATATAAATTCTCAGAGAGAGCAGCAGCAGTTAAGGTAAGAATCACACTCAACCACATTCAAAGCCAAGTGTGTATGACTTTTTCTGCATTCCCAGCTTTAAACCTGCAGTTTTTTCTGAATCTCAGCAGAAACCCCATTTACAGTAAAAGGCATGTCTTAAATGCCTTATACATTTCTCGTGGCTGATGTTTTTGCCTTGCCAGATTGTAATCCTATATCAAAGTACATTTGGAACTACACTATACTCTTACTACAGAAGAGAGAAAACATTTCTTAACAACCCTTAAGACATAACATGAAGGTCACTAAAATGGAGATCACTCTTTGAGAAGTCCATAGCCATGCCAAAGCGTGTCTTCTCATTTCACTCCGATCCTCTATCAACTCATGTGCGTAAATGTATACTAATCTTTCTTGTAAATAAACTCCAACTCTACTTCAAATAGGCTCATCCTAAAATATTTTCTGCAGCCAAGTCTTGGCTTCACCTAAGTGGAAATCTATGAGAATAAGGCAAGTCCCAGGCTACTGACAGCCATTCTGGGCTGCACCATCACTAATAATCTGGAATCCTAGCAAAAAGTGTCTGGAAGAACAGCACCGGAGCCACACTGCTGAGCTCTCATCTGGACTTGGGTACTTAGAGCTCAAGTTCTACATCCATGAACGGAATGCCTTAAAACTGCCATTATCATCACCATCCTTACAACACAAGCAGTGGGTACAGATGTGCAAAACTCAGAAGGAGGCAGGGTGCTCTTTCAGCTCTTCCTGACCCCAACTGTGGGACCCCAAGACCTTTGTACTTAGGGATATTGTTCCTGGAGTGTTTTCTCTTCAGTTACTATCTCCCTCTCATTTCATTTGTCTTTTGCTAAATGTCACTATCTTCCCCTGACTATGGGATCCACGGGAACCCTGGCCCTAGCTCTGGTAGGCTCTGTCCCATATCCTGCTCTGTTTAGATTCACAGCTGTATTATTTGTTACCGGTCATCACATGCTTTTCTTCAATGCCAGTACCTCACACTGACCATAAACTCGAAAACAGGGATCATTATACATTTGGCTTACTTCATTTACTATGCACCTGGAATGTGCTCAGAAGATAGCTGTCATTCAGTAACCGCTGAGTGAGTGAGTGAGTGAGTGAGTGAGGGAGTCCAGCTCTCTGCGTCACTTCAGTCCCTTTACAGCCATGGTTCTGGGTTTCACCTGATGACCACAGGATTTCTCAACAGGAGCATTGTCAGCATTTGGGCCAGGTCACCCAGGTGCGGGCTTGTTTTGTGCATTATTAACATCTAATGGCTCTGCCTTTGACTAGATGCCAGTAAGCAGTGCCTGGTACCTGTCTCAAGTTATGAATGTCAGAATGCCTCTAGACATAACCAAGAATCAAAAGTCCCCGGATAAAAACCACTGGGAAAGTGTCGTGATGATTAGGCTGGTACGGTGTTCATCATTGTTAAAATTAGTGACAAATTACTAAACGTTGGATACATAGTAATGGAAAGAACAGTATGTTTAAACAAAAGCCATATAATATTGAGTCCTTAATGAAGCCAGGAATTCCAGAAAATATTTTATTACAATAAGCAATAGTAATTGTTGATAGAGACAAATTATTGAATGGCTTGGCTGAATTATTATATAAAGACTAAGAACAAATGCAAACAAACTTACCTTAGTCTTAAGTCCAGAGCTCTGTAGGTCAAAAGATACTCAGTACATCAAGTGTACTTTAACAATAACCCATCATGGTCTGAGATTCTAATTTTAAAATGTGTAAGCTACATCAAACCTCTGTAATGCACACCGTCTTCTGACAACACACACCGTGAAGAGTTTTACAACCCAGGCCTGGCATGGTGCCACCCACCTGTAGCTCCAGGACTTGGAAGGTGAAAGTAAAAGGATCAAGGGGCCTAGGACAGCGTCAGCTATATAGCCACCTTGAGGCCAGCCTGGGATACATGAGACTTAAAAAAAAAAAAAAGGTTTACAGCCTTTTTAAGTTTTTCTTCTCTGTATTATTTTTCTATAAAACATTGGCAAGATCATATAAAAAAAACTTCATACAGTGGAACAATAATACAATTAGTAAAGAATTGAAAACTGGTCTGTTTTATTAGTGGAATTTTAAATTAATTTGTTCAAAATATGAAACTTATATTTCCAGAATTGATAAAGGCCTGGACAGATTTAAAATTTTAGGACCAGGTGAACTCTTTGGAGGACGTAAGTTAATAGATATACCGTACTTTGTTATTTTGTTATTTTGTTACTTTGTTATTTTGGTTTAAAGCTACACATTTTAGAATATCATACTTAAATTTTATGAAATAATACTTAACATTTTTCCTTAAAAGCAAATAATAATTAAAATGGCTTAGAAGTTTAAATCAGTAATTCATGACATACCTTTAAAACGAAGCAGTGCTCGGTGGGTGCTTTGTATTTCATTTTACACTGAATCCCATAGTAAATGTTAACATTTTCAAACTGTATAAAACATGCCAGATCTCGGGATGTCTAAGAAGACAGGAAAAAAAAAATCTCTGATATGGCAGTTACTAATTTCCCCAGTTTTTTTTTCTTTTTGATGCTGCAACAAACGTTCATTTAGTAGATAAAATATTGAATTTTTAGATAATTTATATGAACATCTTCTGTGCACAGTTTTCTTTAAGCCAAGCCAGCATAAAAGATGACAATCAGTGCGGGTCCTGCAAGGGAAGGAAAGATGACATGGCTGTCTGAGCATCTCTCCTGAACTCTTGGACTGAGAATCAACTGACCATGCACTGCTGTTACTGATAAAATCACAACAAGGTGATGACCACTGTCGGGAACTTTACTGTGACTTTTGAAGTCAGTAGTGGGATTTGTGATTAAGCATCAGAAAAATAAAAAGCAAGTCCCCTCAGGATGCACAATGAGCAGTAAATTTGATATTTAGGAAATCAGCATGCGCTCCGTGTTCTTTCAGGCCTTCTCTTTAGGCTGCCAGGGTTGCCATGGAAACAGAGACCTCTTCTCTGTGGATAAAATGTGTTGTGAAAATGGCAGCCCCTAATCTACATATTTGGTTCCACCTCGATTACACATTTGTTCTGCTATTTGTTGCCTTTTCCTGCATGTTCTAGAACCCCACCTAGTTACTGAACAAAGAATATAGACCAGGAACGCTATACCATACTCGATAACTTACTCCTGTAGGTAAAGCAGGATTATTTTTCTTTTCTGATTTTTAATTACAAAACAACATACACTCACCACAGTTAAATTTATATCATACACATTTTCTTTTATCAGCTCCTCCTTCTTCCTGTTTTTATTCCTCTTTAGAGGTACCACAGGTAAAATAGATTGATAGAATCCTAAATGTTCTGTAGTATAGTTTTTCTTGCATTTTATTTATTTATTTATTAATCATCTATCTATCTATTATCTATCTAACAAGTATTTGTTTCTCTTTAAGTTAGGCATAGACCTTCTTATATATATACATATATAATTGTATAAACATATTATACATATATACACATATATACCTACTCACATATTTATGTATATAATTGTTTTCTCAATGATGGAACCCAAGGCTTGTGCAGCCAGGGTAGTAAAGGCTGTTTTCTGGACTCAGCAAGGCAGTTGCACATAAGGAACTCACAGAGGCCAAACAAAATCCCAGCATAGGGTGGGGAAATGGGCAAAAAGCTGCTGCGGGAGGGAGAGCCAGGATTTTTTAAGGACGTGACTCCTGATAGGCCAACCATCCTTCAGAGATAGCCAAATACCCAAGAGGATTCAGGCAACAGAAATTAGACTCAATGAGTTAAAACAAACAAAAGACAGAAAGCTGGCTAGGTAGGGAAAGGAAACAGATATGAGATAAGTTGAGGGAAGGGAGGTGAATATGATCAAAATACATTGTATGAAACTCTAAAATGGTTAATGAAAATTTGAATCACACATGAGCCTTCACTACAAACACTGTTTCCTTACTTGTTTACATTCCTTGTTAGGACACATTGCATGCGTATACTCACAACACATGAGAAGATATTTGACGCTTGATGTCTGCACAGCATTCTGCTGTATAAATAAAACTAACTACTGTACTGTAGTTGACCAGAGATTAATACAGCTTTTGCCTTTATAAAAATGGTGTGTATGTGAGTATTTCCACGGATAGGTTACCAAAGGTGCAACCTCTGTCCAAAAGGGCTTGCCTATGTAACCCCTTACATCACACAGGACTTACCAGCTATTCTCAACCTGGCTGTACCATTTTATGGTCAGGTTCTTCATTCCCAAGAATGTCTTGTTTTCTTACCCTCTTCCTACCAACATTGTCAATATTGCTGATTTTGTCAATCTGTTAACACATTTACTGGTAAGGTGGAATAGCTTTCACTAAGCTAATTTCTATATTTTTCCTGGGAATTCTTACTAAATAATCTTTGCTGTTTGTCTGTGAGCATGTTATTTTTTTCTTGTTGATTTGGTGAAGTCTTTACACATGATGGATATTTACACTTGGTAATATATGTTACAAATGTCTGACCATGTAGCTAATCCTTAAAGTCTTGTTTGGTATCATTATCCATAAGAAATTTAAAACAACTTTATGTGTTCAAAACCTTTCTCCTTCGCATTTTGAATTTTATTCTTGACTTGTCTTTGTGCCCCAGAATTACGAAGATATCAACTCAATATTTTCTTTCTCTTTTTTGGCTTTAGGGTCGATTTTAAAGACATTTTAATTAAACTAGGATTTGATTTGTTTCATGTGCTGAAGTAGAAAACTTTTGAAAATGGGTGTACAGTTATTTCAATACTATTTATTCTCTTGAATTCTACATTGTTTTTCCACTGCTATAGAATTCTGTAGAATTCTGTGGGATGTTAGTTGGCTCTTCGTTGATCTGTTCATTTATAACTGCTTTCTTTTATTGTAATCTAATGTTTAACCTCTGAGAGATGAAATTTTAGATCAATGTTCTCTACAGTTTCATGGGCTCTGTTTGGGGACAGCATTTCTTTTTTATTAATTTTGCAGTCAGTCCTTGAATCTTAAGTAAAAGAAATATAACTGGAATTTTCATAGACTTATAGAACCACTTTCTTTGTAAAGTGTTTTATTGTATGTAATATATACTTTGAACATTTTTATTTATTTTACTCGTATTTATTGTACACTTGTCACTCCTGTTCTGCCAGAATCTTGAGTTATGTTCTATTTGTATGTTGCTTATATAAAGTAAAAATGATTTTTGACTTGCCAGTTTGTTTGGTCACAATGATTTTCTAGGCAAGTATCTTCTCTTGTGAAAACAGCATGCCAGTTGTGAACAATGTGGTTTGTGACTTTTCTCAATGACTGTCTTTCTGACTTTGTTCCCTAACCTCTTCTCTAATGTTTGTGGCAATAATGAGAGAAATTGCCCAACTTCAAGATGAACAAGGGCTGTTTTACTTAGTGAAGTGTTTGTTCTAGCCTTATTTATATGACATATTAAACTGCTTAGGACATATCTGTTGTAAAATAAAACAAATCATTTTTGAGGCAATGATGAATGTCCAGTGTGAGACTGGAGTAAGGTGGCAGAGTGAGGAAGTATCAGGTCTAAGAGTCACACCAGAGTAAAAGGTTAAGTGGGCAACATCAAGGGTTACCCATAAGCCACAGAGACAGCAAGGTCGCTTCAGTACTGATTAAGGAAATCTGTAGTCCATAAACATGTCATCTTGTGAAGCCGTATTCTGCTTAGCCTAGAAGATATATTCTAAAGCTTTTTATAGGTGAACAAAAACAGACTGTCCCAACTCTGCAAGAAAAGACCTCAGCAAAGGTTAAAGATCAGAGCCAGTGTTAAAAATCAGACTTAGAACAACAGTTTATTACATGCTTCTAGATGTGAGCCAATAATCCCAGAATGCCATGCAAAATTTAATGATGTCTAAAACACTCTGATAAGTTAGAAACATAATGAAATAAGTACACCTCTGAGAACACTGACTGTTTAAAACATGAGATGTAAATTTAATGAAGATCTTAAGAATTCTAAGATTTTAGATAAAATATGTTTGATCACAGTGACCATGGAACAAGGGGGTTAATATGAGGGAAAAACATTTTCAGACTAGAGTAGGCCAGGCTTGGTAGGATGACCCCTGACTTTAAAACATGTCATTTTATTTTCATGTTCAAGAGAAAGCTACAGAAAATTCAAATGTGCCTCAATGATTTTGTACTGTACAGCATATATTGTGTAGATTTTGTAGTACCACAGAACCCATGGAACCACCATAGCTAACCTGGTAGCTTAGATTATCAATTTCCTCCTGATATCTCTGTGTCTCGCCCTCATCAGATAGATGCTTTCTCATGTAAGTGCCATTTTTATTTTGTACTTTGTTATCATTTTTCTATGTGATTGTGGTAGTTTTGATCTGGAACCACCCCCAAAGGGTCATATATTAAGGCCTGTGGCATGCCTGGGAGGTGGAAGAGACAGCAGAAGAGAGTGGGCTGGTGAGGTGTTCCCAGAAGGGGTTGTGGGACTCTGGCTTCTCCTCTCTTTTGCTTCTGACCCTGAGGTGTAGTGAGAATTTTGGAATTTTGGTATAAGAATATGTTTTTGTTTAATCCCAGGTGTAGGGATATGAGCCAGCTTCACAACAGCTGACTATGATTTGCCTCTGGAAGGCATGTAATTTTGCCAGCTACAGATAGTTTCTGCAATTGTGTGATGTTTGGAATTCTGGAGACTTTTCAGAGATCATATAAATGCTAGGGCCCTGAGAGGAAGGGTGGGTTGTTGGTTGATCATTGGTTGGTTGTTGGTTGCTGTTGGTTGCGGTTTGTTAGGTAGTCATGTGCAAAGAAGAAACAACAAGAAGAAATTAGACATCTGATGGGCAAAGATCTTGCCTCAGGGAGCTCAGCACCCCTAATCAGCAGGAAGTGCTCTAAGGATAATGTCACCCCCTTTCCAACCCCTGTCTTTATTCCGGGATCTCTTTCCTTTCCTTTCTATCCTTTTTTCCTTCCTTATCTAGTGTTAGGGGGTTGAAAGGGAGGAAGGAAAGGGGTGGAGAAGGGCAGAAAGAAGAACCCACAAAGTAGCAAATGCTGAGGTAATGGCTTTTCTGCCCTGTCCCGCCCTGTGAGGGGCTGCCTGCCAACAGGCACAAACAACAGGCTGATCTCCAGAACAAAGCCAATTTTGTCTTAAAAATATTCACTTTAAGTTTTGAGATTTATAATTATATAATTTCCCCATTCCTCTTTCCCCACTCCGTCTCCCTCCTCCCCATCTACCCATCCTTGCTCTTCAAATTCATGGCCTCTTTTTTGTTAATTGTTCATACGTGAACATGTATATACACATTATGTGTATATACATACATTTCTAAATACAACACTATGTTTTCAGGGCTGACCCTTTGGTACTGGATAACCAGTTGGTGTTTTCTTCCCGGGAGAAGACTATTTCTCTCATGGTCAGCATTCCTAATTGCTCATAATTCTTTGTAGAGGGCTGAAGCCTCAGGGCTTTCCCCATCTGCATTAGCACTCTATTGTCCTCTTTGTTCAGCTCCGGTTTAGGCAGCTGTGCTGGTGAAACTTTATGGGAGTAGCTTTTGATATTCCTAGGAGACACAATCTCACAGCAAACTCCCTGTTTCTCTGCTCTTCCAATCTTTCTACCCCATCTCCTGCAATGACCCCCCCTCCACACACACACACTCCCGAGCCTAAGGGATAAACCTATGTTTTTTAAGAAATTGATGGTGTCAGATATTTTGTTGTACTAACTGAAAGATGACTGACCTTAGTCTTTCCTTTGGGAACATAATAAATTCCAGAAGCTCTCAGAAGAAAGTAGCGCCGTTTCCAGGATTTCTTTCCATCTTCTTTCAAATAAAGAGCTCCTTCAAGTTCTGGAACTATGATGGATGTGCCACAGAAACTTTCCTGAAATTGGAATATAGAGGCATAAAATACACACTCAGTTCACATTTAAAGAACAGTCCCAGTTAAGTCAATTCTGATGGAAATGGATTGAACACATTTTCTTTATGTGCTGTTTGCCAGTGGGGAGGAAGGAAGGACAAAGTGTCACAGGATCCTGGGTTCTATGTGAAGACTTCTTTCACACCAGGATCACAAAATCTCAGTTCCTGTTTTTGTAAAAACGGAGTACTAGTTTGATTTCGGCTCTGATTATAATCAACAAAAAACTAAAACAAAACCGAAGACCAAAACAACAACACCGTCAGTTATACTCACAACCAACCAACCAACCAACCAACCAAAACAAAACCCCAAACCAAAACAGTAACAACAAATGTTGTAACCTGCTTAAATTCTGTTGAGACCTATTTTATTTCTTAGCATAACTATGGCTCCTCTGTTAACACCTGCAGAAGTCTTCAAGTCTCCATTTTGATTATGTCTCTACGGTTTCATTTCTCAAACTTTGTTACCTGGACACTTTATGAAGTCCCCAATTGCAGAACCAATCAAATTAAAGGTCAATTAGAAATGCTTTGTGTAGCTAGTCAAAATGATGTAAGGTTGCTTCCTACACCTGGATACTTGTGTTTTTGTTACCTGGTTGTAACCTAGCTATGGTTTGTTTCCTACACCTGGTTACAGTTTTGTTACCTGATTGCTACCAGGTTACTTTTTTTGGTTTTGTTTTAGTATTAAAAAACCTGCCTAAGGAGCAGACCAATCTCATTGTCTGGCCCTGGAGTCCAGATTATAGCCCTGAACAGTCAGTTTCTAATTTAGCATTCTACAAACCTCTGTTGGATTGAGTCTGGTGTCTGAGTGGTCAGTGGTTACTCCTGAACCCATAACACAAAAAGCAAAACAAAAAGAGAATATTTTATCACCAGTAAGTAGTAAATAATTATTACATAATTCTACACATAAACTAAGTCAGTATTTTATTATTTAAAGTTTTCACACACAAGAAAGGCCATTATTAATACTATAATATACAGGAAAGAGCATATTTTCTAGGTATAGATTTTTTAATCTTCACACTTGCATAGAAATTTATAATTTTCAATGATTTTTAAGAGAAGCAATCCAATACATATTATTGTATCTTTTTGCTTCGATACTCAAATTTATTATTTTCTCTTAAAATTATAATTCCCAGTAAAGTTTCATAAATGCAAAATAATTTAATTTTGCATCTTCCAAAGTAGACCTCTGCGTAGAAGATCTGGAGAATGGCTCTGTTCACATTTCTCCCAGTGACCCTCCAGTTCAGGTAGTAGTTGGCTTGTTAATCATCTATTGAGTTTATTTGGGTTTTTGGCTCAAAGCTGACCGTGGAACAACGCACATTTCCCATAACATAACAGGTTTTGTATTTTCATCCACATTCAGTTGTACATGCTTTTGAAATTAAATGCAAAGGGCTATTCATGCAACTGTATCAATCCACACACAGTAGATTGCCCTGTTAGAGACAGCTAATTTTTCATCATTGTTGAAAACACATGGCTATGGCAGGAAAACATTTCTTTTCTATAACAGTCAGTGTTCATCATCACTAGATATGTTCAGAACCCTTCCTCTCCTTGCTTTTGGGGTCACCTGGTGTTCCATCAATTCATTCTAGAGCAGTGGTTCTCAACCTTCCTAATGCTGTGACCCTCTAATACGGTTCCTCATGTTGTAGTTACCCAAACCATAAAATTATTTTGTTGCTTCCTCATAATTGTAATTTTGCTACTGTTGTGAATTATAAAGTAAATATCTGATATGAAGGATATATTTTCATTGTTATAAATTGAATATGATTAATGCATAGTGATTAATCACAAACCAATATGTAATTGTATGTTGTGAATATCTAACAATACAAAAGGTTATGTATTGCATAATTTATTAATGTTCTCTATGATTTACCATTCTGTGTGTGTGTGTTGTTTTTACATATCTGTTACTATCACAAGGGAGCTCTATTTACACACACACATATATTCTGAGTATATATATATATATATATATATATATATATATATATATATATAT